GAATATGGTATGTAATAATCCAAATGTCAGCATTAAGTTTTATATAAGATACAATTAAAAAAACGGGGTACGGGTTTAAATATATATAATTATATAAATTCTTTATTATTTAACTTAAAAAATTTATTTTTATAACACAAAATAATTTTATTGGTTGTAAAAGTTGAAGGTGAGAGGTAAATTTTATGTCAGTATCAGGAAGGATTAAAAAAATAGTTTTGCTTTTTAAATTGATTCTTTAATTTAGTTTAATTCACACTCTGTTTTATTAGCACTTATTAATAAAGATAAACTCAAAACTTTAAACTACTACCTCTTAATAAAAAAATAAATAAAATAAAAATTTATTTCTGAAGTAACTTTATCTGGTTCTAATATTGAAAATAAAAAAATATTCAAGTACTAGGTCCAAATTTAGTACTAAAGCTTAACAGATGGGTAGTCTTGTAGAAATATCTCTCCTTTGAAGCCCTGACTTTATTCCACCAATGCTAAGGAGATAGGTACGCTCTATTTAATATTCTCAGTATTTGCTGGGATGATCGGGACCGCATTTTCGGTTCTTATTAGATTAGAGTTATCTGCACCTGGTGTGCAATTTCTACAAGGAGATCATCAACTTTTTAATGTGATTATATCAGCTCATGCATTTATTATGATTTTCTTCATGGTTATGCCTGGATTAGTTGGTGGTTTTGGTAATTACTTTTTACCATTACATGTAGGGGCGCCAGATATGGCATTTCCTCGGTTAAATAATATCTCATTTTGACTTTTACCTCCCGCATTAATCTTATTACTGCTTAGTGCATTAGTAGAAAATGGGGCTGGGACAGGTTGAACAGTTTATCCGCCATTATCTAGTATACAATCTCATTCAGGTGGATCTGTAGATCTTGCTATCTTCAGTTTACATCTTGCTGGGGTTTCATCATTATTAGGTGCTATTAATTTCATAACAACCGCATTAAATATGAGAACAAACGGAATGAGTTTACACAAATTACCATTATTTGTGTGGGCAATATTTGTAACTGCTATATTATTATTATTAACTTTACCAGTGTTAGCTGGTACCCTATTATTGTGCCAGCTTAAAATTTGGCTATATGCGGGAAACTCCTGTTTTTATCAGGACAATCCGCAGGAAACTAAAAGCTTATTAATGTTTTTAGGATCCTCAGAGACTATACGCCAAAGTATTTCAATTATAAAATTTAAACAAAGCTGTGAACGAAAATACAGCACTGTTTTTAATATCCCCAATAAAAATTTTAATTCTTATTTAGCTGGTTTAATTGAAGGAGATGGTACTATTTTTGTTCCTAAAGTACCAAGAGATAAAAA